GGGAAGGAGGACAAGGTCCGGAGAGGAGGACAAGCTCCCGGGAAGGAGGACAAGGTCCGGAGAGGACAAGCTCCAGGAGAGGAGGACAAGCTCCCCGGGACCATGCAGTGCACTGACAGCCTGGAAAGGACATACCTGCCCCTCGGGTGTTTTTTAATAAACAGGATGGGAACTCGGACTTCCCCGTGTTCCAGCTCCCATTCTGACACCGTAAGGTCACCTATTTGTGACCCTGGCTCCTTTACTTGCAAAAGAGACCCATCTCAAAGCAGTTTGAGCAAAAATGACCCTACTAACTGGAAGATACACACGTGGAAGAGCTTCGGGTAGTTTGATCCTAGACTTCGAATAATGTCTTTAGGATTCTGTCTCTACTTACCTCCACTGGCCTCCTTGTTGGCTTTGTCTTCAGGCAAGAGGCCCTTGCAGCTCTGGCTGGAACTCTTTTAGAAAGTCCTTCTCCAAAACAAAACAAAACAAAACAAAAACTGTTGTCGCGTCCTGGTTAGTCCAGCCTGATTCTCATTAGCCTGAACACGGCTGCACGCCCCTCTCGGACCCAATCACCATAGCCAGGGGAGATGAAGGTGCTGGTCGGTTATATTCGTTCACGTGTCCCAAACCCAAGCACGGGGTCAACCGCCTCAGAGCTACCTGGGCTGAGAGCAAGAAGAGTGCCCACAGAAGCTGCGTCACAGTGTCCCGAGAAAGGCGAACAGACTCAGGGCAGACGCACAGCTGGTATGGGTGTTCCTGTGCCCTCCATAACCGAGGCTGATGCAGCCAGTGGGTGTGGGCAGCCGCCCTTCAGGACAAAGTGAGAAGAGCTGCCCAGCTTTTCTGTCCTGGGGAGGAAAAAAGGACTCTTGTGGAGGGGACTGAAAGTCAGGTCAGACAGGTAGTAATTGACATGGCAGTGGGGTCTCCAGAGTTTCCCGAAGAGGGAGGTCTAGGCTGGCAAAACCAGAGAGGAAGGAAAGAGGAGCTTGCTAGGTAACGATGGAGTGAATGACAGGATTTTCAAGTGCATAGAACGGATGAGTGAAGGATGGATTTCTCAGCATTGGGTCTAGTAGGAGTCACTGTGTGGAAGCAGAAGGGCACAGAAAATACTTTAGGAACAGAACAGCCTGTATGCACGGGACATGTTTTCCTAGCTTTCCCTGCTGGTGGCCAGAATATCCATTTTTATCTAGGAATGTAACCATGACCACAGATCAAAGGCAAGTTCTTTGGGTTAACATTGAAATCTCTGTCTTCTTGTTACAAACAAAATATTCTTACTGAGTTATAAGATCTCTATTCTTCCCGGGGACCCCCAAAATACCTTCTTGTGACCTTTACATGGTTTTGTGGATTTTGCTTTGAACTGAAAAGCAAGGGTCTTTAACCTAGAGGGCCCTCTGTTTCAGCCCCCACTTCTGCAGGAAGAGAATTCAAGAATTCAAGCATTTGCCTGGGGCAGAAGGGAAAATTCTCCAGGGTAAGGAGCACAGACAGTGCTAGAGGAAGGCAAAGGATCTCCAGGGAGCCAGCCCTCTCACTCGGGCTAAGGTCTGAAAGTAACAAGGGGTCCCACCATCAGTTGTGACTCATTTCCTTTCTCGGGGTCTTCCTGTTACAACTGGGGCCCCAGAGGCAGCTGTGTCCTGGATGGCAGTGAGGCTATGAATAACTAAAGAAAGAAGTAGCTATCATTGAGTGGGTGTCTACTATGGGTCCAGCACAGTGTTAAGTGCTTGCTATCATTACTTCATTAAGTTCTTCCAAGTTTAAGTTCTCCCATTATAAAGGAGAAAAGTGAGGCAATATTGATAGAACTGGGATTTAAACCGAGGTGTCTCTGACACCAGAGCAGGTGGGAGAGCTAGCTTTTTAATTTTTTTTTTAAAAAGATTTATTTACTTATGCATACACAACTGGGGTGTTAGAGGCCAGAGGTGCAGGGGCAATGAGAGGTTTCACCAAAGACAGAGTGAGGAGCAGAACAGGCAGATAGATGAAGCACACTGCCGAGGGGAGCAGCCGGCAGACAGGAGGGGTCTGCCGCGCTCTGCCGCGCCATGTGGATCACCTCCAGGACCAGTGATCAACCTGGGGATCGAACTGGCACTGAAGTGGCTGCAGTGCAGCGCCCTAACCCGCTGCTCCACCAGGGAGGGCCTGATTCATGTACTTTCTAACACCCACTCACTGCCTTCAGTTCCTTCTAGGTTTCACTGCCTTAGCATACCCGCGGGCCCTCAAGTTCTGAAAGAGAAAAGATTAAACTACAGAATGAGGACGGGATGAAACCAATGTCCAACTCCGTCCAGCTCAGCTCCTCCATTCCCACTAGCGAGGGTGTGGGTGGGGTTGGAAAGGCAGGAAGACCATCCAAATCTAGGAGTCCTTAAGGCTTGAACCTCAGTGCCGAATTCTCCGGCGCCCCCTGGTGGTCAATGGCACTAATGGAACCCGATTGACATCCCGCCACCGGGTGGAGAAACAGGAGCGTTTACAACTGTGCACATCAAGGGTATGCTAGATCTGGATCTGACCCAGGGCTCCAGGCCACCAACCCCTTCCACTTTCTATCCTGGTTGTTCTCCACAGTGGTTTATGGACCGACAGTAAGGCTCCTTTATTATATGTAAGTAGTATGTTATTCTATTGTTTACACACTACTAGGCGTACTCTGACTGTAATCTAAATACTGAACTCCAGTATGTCAATATATAAAATATATAGTTGTTATTAAAAAATGGAGTCACACCAATACGCTTGTCACCTTCCATCCCCATTTCATATTTCCAGAGTCATCCTTTCATACCCTGCCTGCTGTTCTTGAAAAGCAGGTTTTCTCCATAAACTTAATCCCACCATCTCATCTGCAGAAATGTGGAAAGGCACAGGAAATAGTCTCTTGTGACACAAATGTTACTTAAAGAGGGAGGGGTGACAAGAGAAGAGAAAGCTACAGAATGCCTCTCCCCACTTGAGCTCAGGAAAGGGCACGGAAGAGAGGGGGAAGAGCCCCAAGGAAGGTCTCCTGTGCGGATGGACTAGGAGTGTGGGTGAGGATGCTCACCTCTAATGGCTGGGCTGGGTGGCGCAGCTGGTCAGGAGGGCTGACAGCAGAGGCTTGGGATGGGTCTCAGATTAGTGGCAGGTGAGAAGGCGAAGGATGGAGGCGAGCAGCCCACAGGAAGAACTGACCTGCCTTGGAGTCAACCCTCTGTTCAGGCTGGTTATGTCTTGGTCCCGGAAAGAGAGAGAAAGAAGCCTGTTCGGACGCCTCCTGGACGGCTGGATTTTCACCCCAAGTAAAGACAGGTGGGTGGAAGGAGCCCCACAGGGGCACTGACAGAGCTGTGTGGAGCCCAAGGTGGAGCTGGGCTGGGGAAACGGAAGGTGTGATAGCAGCCACAGAGGTTCAGAGCTTCCTGCGCAGGATCCGCAGAACCAGCCGTCCAGCTGCCCATGTCTAGAGGAGGGTCCTGGAAGGTTCCAAAGACTAGCTTTGCCAATTTAGTAGAGTGTGCCTGGCCCCATAACTTCTGCAGAAGGCAAAAAGGAACCGTGGTGTGAATCCGGAGAAAGGGAGAGCTGTGAAACCCCACTTCACGCCACACCCCCTTCCTGCCTATAAATAACCCCAAGTGTCACTTCAAAGGATACAGGGAGCTCGGGAGAGGGGCTCCCGGGGCCGCCCGGTAGGGGCAGTGGGTCCTGCACACCACGCCCCCACCTACCCGGGGCGAGTTTGCATAAATAAACAAATCCGAGCCGTCCGCCCGGCAGGAGGTGGAGGAGGAGGAGGAGAA